ACTGAGCGACTTCACTTTCACTTTTCACTTTCATGCATTGGAGAAGGAAGTGGCAACCCACTCCAGTGTTCTTGCCTGGAGAATCCCAGGGATGGGGGAACCTGGTGGGCTGCCGTCTGTGGGGTCGCACAGAGTCAGACACGACTGAAGCGACTTAGCAGCAGCAGCAGCAAAATCCCTACCAGGTGGAAGAACTTAACTGCATCCTGACCACCAGCACATAGACCCCAGACCGGTTACAACCAGAAGGTTGATGATGCTGACCCTTGAAATACCACCCAAGCTACCTCACCATCAGCCAATCAGAAAAATGTCCACAAGCTGATCAGGCACCCTACAACCCTCACCCCTAATGCTGCCTTTAAAAGCCCTTCCCTAAAAGCGAGCAGGAAGTTCCAGTCTTTTGAGCGCAAGCTGCTAGTTCTTCTTACTTGACTAAGTTACTCTTCAGTATGCTGGTCACCACATAAAGTGAACTGATAGGTAGAGTTTGGATATTTTAATCTACATAATCCATTTTATACCAGTTTTCAGGTCTGTATTGGATTCAGTGCTCAGAACTGGTCTGGGGGCTCTGAGATTTGTAAAAGCATTACCAGGTTTGGCTCCTAACCTAATAGTGTAGATGCTCTTAACACAACTCTTTTCAACTGATTTTATTGAACATAATCACTTTATACAATAAAGTAACTGAACATATTGGGATGCATTTCAAGACATGTGGGAGGTCGGGAGACCCAGGCAGCTTTGTCCCTGGAAGTGAAAAGCAGAGAAAATCCACGGAAGGCCGAGCACAGAAGTCCACACGAGACCACCGGAGTGTGTAAATCAAATATTTATTGTCTTTGTGAGCTTTGTGCTCAGCACTACTCAAACATTATGGGCAAATACAGAAGATTCAAGAGATTGGGAGCGCACTTCAGAAGTGACATGCAGTTGGGGTCCCCATGCACTTCACAGTTAGAAAGCAACGGAAGCAAATTTCTATCATGGGAGCTCAGAAGGGGGTTCAGGGAGGGCCCTGGGGCTAGTGTGATGTTGTCAGAAAGACGGTGGCCAAGCAGCTTGAAAGTAAAAAGGCAATGTCCTCAGACGGCTCTCTGGATTCTTCTCTCTTCTGTAGCCCTGTCACTCTGAAGAAGGCATGTTCTGGTCCAATCATGACTGGGGGGAATCACTAGAGTGCTTAGATTAAGTTAACGTGAAGAGAGCATGTCCTCCTTTACACTTGAATTAAACCCAAGTGAACAGTGCATGCTGCGCTCCACCTCGCAGCTCCATCCATTCACAGGCACGTCCTTAAGAGCCATCGGTCCAGATTCCACACGCTTGCCCCTGCCATGTATCCTTTTTTGCCATCTCCAGCAACACAACAGAAATCTCCATTTCCATTACCCCTGAACAGCCTGTGAGGCCAAAGGCATACTGTCTCTATTCTCAAACAGAAACATCTCTTTAAGGAAACAGAAGTCAAGTCCTGAGGCAGAAACAAGTCTAAAAGTGATGCAAGGGAAAATGCCCTCTTCCCAGGCATGCCTTCTTTGGACAGCTTTTCCTGAACAGAGCCAGAGCTTTGACATTTAATGACATTCTTATCATTGCCTATGTTCTGTACTGTGAAATTAATATTTACATACAACAAAATCATCTCAAGAGGAAATAAAAAAGATTTTTCTAAAGCGAAGTCTGAACATCATCAGTATTTTGGAATCCTGAATTATTTTCTCCTTTATTCAAGTCCACAGAGCCATAAGGATTTTCTTCACTGCTTGCTTGATTTTTCCTGTTAAATAAAGTGAACTCACCTTAATATCATGATCCTAGAGTGACACGGCCTCCCTTGGACAACAATGGCCCAGGTATCTTTTCCATCTCAGCATCTTACCACCTGTACTCATTTGCATACCAGTCCCCTTTTAATGGACTATGGGCACCCAGAGTGCATTGAATTCACTTCTTTAGCCCAATGATCAGTTGGCATGATGGTTGGCAGAGTAGGAGACTGGTTAGGGTATAAGCTCTGAAGTCTGAGAGTGGGGGCCTCTGTGCCTCAGTCTGACTATTCAGAAAATGATGGCAAATATGTAAACTCAGTGAAATAATGCTGGCAGAGTACTCACAGTATCCAGCATATAATCTCCAATAAATATTAACCATTATTATTATTTTTAGGAACTCAGTGGTCATTTAGCCAATCACTTCGTTATAAAAAAAGCTTCCCTACTAAATTACCAATTTCCAAAGTATGAAGATCAGGATAGGCCTGCTTTGTACTACAACAACCAGCTTTAGAAATTGAGCGTGTATCTTCATGCATTCCTGACTAGCTGTGCAAACTTGAGAAGGGTTCTTGTCCTCTCTGAATCTCGTCTTCTATATACATGAACATGATTACATAGCTATATATTATACAGTTGCTGTATAATATAAGTAATGTTATATTAATGTTAATGTAAGAAATACATAAGCAGTCTTATTTTTCTGTGTAGCTTCTATTAATGCAGTGTATAGCATGAAGGAGGAGCCCAAAAATAATTTCTTTGATGAATGAACTTTGGAATATGCATTTTTCAGAAACAGAGTCACAGACTTATGGTTACCAAAGGGGAAAGGGAGGGGAGGGATAAATAAGGACTTGGGGATCAACAGATACACACTACTACGTATAAAATAGATAACCAACAAGGACCCACTATATAGCACAGGGAACTCTACTGTCTAATAATCTCTACAGGAAAAGAGTCTGACAAAGAATAGATATGTGTATATGTATAACTAAATTACTTTGCTGTATACCTGAAACTAATACAACATTGTCAATCAACTATACAATTTTTAAAAAATTTTTTTAAACTGATAATTTTTGTCAGCTTTAGGAAGGGAACTTGGAAGCAAAGAGTGACAGGAAAACTCTATGTATCCTTTTGTATTTAAAACATTTTTACTATGTGAATATATTTTTGTCAATGCCTAATTTTAAAAATGAAGTTATTTGTGGAAACAAATAGTGAAGAAAATTGAGCAAAACAGACTAGTGCATATAAAAATTAAAGAACACATTTAAACAACCTAATGTGTGCAAAGAGTTTTGTTAGGTGTTATAAAATATGATTAACCTCAGTTACACAACCCCAACAAAAGTAAATGCTGTCTCAAGATCAGAAAACAAATCTAGTGGCAGGACACAACTATACATCAGGCCTCTGGTGATTTAAAGCTGCAGTGAACTTGAATCTTCAACTCGAGAACAATTTAGAGGGTGCATGACCCATGAACTGAGGGTACAGTAAGGCATCTGGGCCATGGGAGGAGGGATGCAGAGGATTCAAGCGTAGCAATTTGGAGCAAATCTCAGAGCTCATTCTTGAACGATTTCACAGTTCAAGTCCATCACTAATGCATTCTCTAGGATCACTTCTAGACCAAGGAGGACTCCTCAGTAAGGGTAATCCCCACTGAGCTCACTCACCACTGCAGAGCTTAAAGTGCCTTTTAGCAGTAGGGAAATGATGCTGTGGCCAGGATGGAGTTTACTGGGGCATACCAGTAGTAAACCCCAGGCTGGAACTCTCCTGTATGGTGGGGCCTGCTAGGATGGCAAAGTGCTGATGAAATCTGGTAAACTTCTAGGGGGTGCACAAGAATATTTAGCTGTGAAACTGTCCACATATGTAATTGGCTTGTACAACCTACGACTTAATGCAAATTTTCCCAGTTAGTTTTCCTGAAACTGTTCTGTTTTAGGATAGATAAGTTCAAGAAAGGTCACTTACTTCCTTCGATCTCTGATCCCAGTGAAGATGAGCACAACAATACCAATCACTACCACTCCCATCACGACCCCAAAGATAATCAGCCATATGGTGACAGGTGGCTCGTAAGGGGGTCCCAGCGTCGGCTGAATCCCCAGAAACTCCAGGCTGTTGTCATCCAGCTGGAAGGCATCATTGATACGGCTCCGGGACAACCTATTCCCAAAAGCAAAACACTTAGGCAAAAGAAAACAGTGCAGTTATTTACTTCCTATATCACTGTCTCCAAAAGGATTTGATAAGGCTTATCCAAAGAAGCAGTGAAATCAAAGTCAATAACCAGGTTCACTGACAGATATGAGTTTTAACAATCATACCTCTTTCATACTGTGTGATCCTAGATTAGGTTTGGAAATAGCTTCACTGGAAAATGAGGTTGCAAGTGTGGAAATGTGCAGATGGCTGGCATTTGTTCATTTGTGACTACTGTGTTGTAAAGGCAAAGTTGCACGTTTGGTAAGAATTTCCCTTCTGCCGAGGTATGTCTACAATGACTTTATATCAAATAATGGAAAAGGAAAATCGGATCCACCTCTTCTACAAATGAATCAGGCCTTATACACAAGTCTCAACAGCTGCCTTTTCCATAAAAGGTGTTGACATCCTAATAAATGGCAGTTCTGGGGAGGAACACAGGGAAGGAGCCTTTGCCAAATTCTCCAGCACTGGGCTGGGATATGGCCGAATTTTATAGAGGAAAAAAGGATGAAGGTTATTTTTAAAACAAAAAACAGTGAAATGTTCAGTATTCCAGATTGAAAACCAAAGTGTCTGGTATCCCATTCTCCTGCCATTGAATACAGTGCAGGTCAGGAAGTCAGAGTCCAGCCAGAGAGAGAGAGATCCAAGCAGCATTAGCCATATAAGCCCCACAACCTTCACCTGAAAGAGTCTCGTCACTCTGGAAATAGGAAGTTTGAGGACTCCCCAGAGCTTGCAGGAGTGCTGGGCTCCTTCGTGATGATCTCAGCTAGCACTTTCCCCCAAGACAAGTCTTGTGGAGGCAGCCAGTGAGGCTGGGCGTGCTTGGGTTGTAAACCCCACTAAGCCAGATTTTCTAGGCCAACTCTGCCCAGCAAGTCTTGGGTCTTCTTCTAAAGACGATGAGCAGCTCAAGAGTGCCATTTAGTAGCATTTCCCATAGCAGTGGTATATTAAGCCTTTTTTCTTCTCTTTTTAATGACAAGGGGAAACATCAACATCTATCCAGCCTGGTGGGCTACAGTCCATGGGGTCAAAAAGAGTCAGACATGACTGAGCAACTAACTTACTTATTTAGTATCTAAGGACTCCTGTCCCTGCCTGCCTTGTTTCAGACTTTGGTTAAATGAATTCTGCATCAAAGTCTCTACGGCGATGATGGCGACACCTGCCCACGTACCCTCTGCATTTACCATTTTCCGGGCGTGCTGGTTAGACTTCCTTCAGCCGGGACCTGCTGCCTTTGCCTGAGAGCATTCTCAGGCTACAAGATTCAGCCCTATCTGCAGTCCAGTAAGGCTGGGGAATTACTGTCGCCTGTACACAGTTCTCAACCAGTGACTGGTGGGAAGTGGTGAATAAATACCCCAGCTCTGATGGGACAATTCAGGTGCATGTTCCACACCATCTCCCAGAATTCCCAGCAGAATGGAGTTCTAGCTGCCCACAGTGGTAACTTGCTCATAACGTGTCATGTTACCTTCCTTCCATTCTGTCTCCTGTCCACACTCCTCAATCCATTCTTCCTGAGGTGACTTCCCAAGTAAACTACTTACTTTCAAATCCTTGTCTAAGGACCTGCATCTGGAGAAACCCAATGAAGGCAATCCTCTTGCTATGAGATCCTTTTGGAATTAAAACCCAAGTTTTTAAGATGAGGGAAAACACTCAAATGATTCAGAACAGTGCCTGGCACCTTTGGGAACACACAAATCATTCATTACTGCTGTTGTTGCATTGGGACCCCCTCACCCTTCTATCCTACATTTGAAAGTAAAATATCACCTGATGGCATTTTCAACTTCAGTTCTAGGGATGATGTCAGACACATTGTTAGGTGACGTGACAAAGAACTTGAAGGAGATTCTTGGTTTCTTGTCACTCACCCACACGTTCTCTTCCCTGTGGAGAAACAAAAGAAACATTTTCCCTGGTGGCACAGAGGACGCTGTGAAGAGAATGAAGACTTCTTCTGCTGGAGATGGGGGGACAATCACAGGGTAGAGAGGAGAGCCCTGGAGCAGGGCTCGTCATGGAAGGATGTAACTGTCCCAATAACCTTAACGCTGCCCAAAGCACATGAACGCAATTCCCTAAGGTGTGAGAGCAAGTCTTGGCATGATTGGTTCTGCTACCATATAAGAACCACAGTTTTTTTCAGTGTTAGAAATATTTCAAACAAAGCAGCAGAAGAATCAGCGAGGAATCACTGGTGACCCAGGATTGTGATAAACAATACGGCGGGCAGAGATGGCTCCCTTCCATGGACAGAGGTGATGCCCCGATATCTTCCAACTGTGCCCCTCCTGGCAAAACTCGTCATGTTGCCCCCACAGGTGAGGGTGAGGAGTGGGGTTTATAGTAGGATGTGACAAGACTGTGCTCTCACAGCTGATGAGACTGATCCTAATAAAATGCAAGGCAGGGACTTCTCTGGTGCTATAGCGGATAAGAATCTGTCTGCCAATGCAGGGGACAGCGGTTCGATCCCTGGTCCAGGAAGATTCCATACGCCACAGAGCAACTAAGCCTGTGACCTACAACTATTGAGCCTGTGCCCTAGAGCCAGCCAGCCCCAACTACTAAGCCCACATGCCTCGTGCTCTGCAAGAAGCCTCCACAATGAGAAGCCTGTGCACAACAATGAAGAGTAGCCCCTTACCTGCTACAACTAGAGAAAGCCCACGTGCAGCAATGAAGACCCAGTGCAGCCAAAAATAAATAAAACAACGAATGTTTACTAAAAAAACAAAACAAAAACCCAAGGCAGATCACATGGTTCAGAGCGTTTCTCATGCAGAAGGAAAGCCAAAGGCCTTAGAATGGCTTGGAGGCGCGCACACAAACTTTCTTCTCGCCTTTCCACCCCCACGGCCCAGTCTGGCCCTGACTGCATCTCCTATTTGTCTTCTATTAGCTCACTCTGCTCCAGCCACCCTGGCCTCTTTGCTGTTCCTTCAATATAAGTGAAGGATGCTTGTTCCTCGGGATCTTTCTACTTGCTATTTTTCAAGCTGCAACATTTTTCCGCAGGGTCTGCACCTCTGACTCTCTCTCTTGTTTCAGCTATTTGTTGAAATACTTAACAAGGTCTTCCTTGACCATTTTAGTTAAAATGGAACCCTACACACACACACACACACACACACACACACACACACACACAACCAGCAAGCACTCCCTTGCCCATTTCCTGTTGAACTGTTCTCCCTAGCACTCATCACCATCAAATTCTACTATATTTCACTTATATATTTTGTTGACTGTCTATAACACACACACATACACACACTAAGCAGATACATTAGAATACAAGCTCAATGAAAGCAGAGATTTCTGCCTTTTGTTTTCAGTGCTGAGGGTGAATGAGAGCATTTGGGGAAAAGAAAGGGAAAGAAGGTAGGGGGGAAGAGGTGAGGAGAGGGCCATTTAATAATAACAAAGCTCTTCCATCTACAAGTCAAATAAGTCACAAGCATCCCTAAAAAAAGGTGGCCCTAATTCCAGGACAGCAATGAGGTTTAATAGTTGTTAGGAGGTTTTTCTCAATTTCACGTGAATAAAAGTTGAAGCATAAAACTTTCTGATCCAAGAGTAAGGGAAATACTCATTGAGAGCACAGCACATCAACTCACCCAAAAGGAATGGTCTCATTTCTCTCTTTTAAAAAATACTTTCTCATGGCATATGCCACAGATGACCGGAACAAGTACATTTCGTTGTCATTCCATTCATACTGCAAATTCACAACAAAAACACTGCTCAGTAGAGATCATGGGGTCATTAAAACCTGATAATCCACAAGCTTTTTTTTTTTTTGGCCATGCCACACATCCTGTGGGATCTTGTGAGATCTTAGTTCCCAGTCCAGGGACTGAATAACCCTCAGCAGGCAGAGCTCAGAGTTCTAACCACTGGACCACCGGGGACTTCCCGACGTGTGTTAATTTTAAATTGTCTAATATGCCAAAGATTCTAGCTCTGCATAAGGTCAGTGATCTCCAACTTGAGTGTGCACTGGCATCACCTGGAGAGCTTATCAAATCACTGAATCCTAGGCCCAAGCCTCAGAGAAGACCTGGAATTCTGCATCTCTAAAAGCTCCCACGTGGTGCTAACGCTGCTGGTCCCGCACCAACGCTTTAAGAACCACAGGGCTCACTGGTCCTTTGAATTTAACTTAAAGTAAGCTGAAATAAGCACCCTAGGGCAGGTTTATAGATGGGAGTTATGTGTGCCATTGGTTTTGGTTAAAACATCCATATACTGTAGACAAGTATGCTGACCTTTTACTATTTTTATAGTAAGTTCTCAGACATGTGTAAGTGTAAAAGAAAAAGAAACTTCAAGTTCAAAGGAAAAAAATAGTTTTTTGTAAACAAGGTAATTCTTCTTTTCCAGTGCTAAACCAATGGCTTGGGTAAAATTTGTGTAGTCCAGGAAAAACCTGTTCAAAGAGAAAAATAATTCACCCTTTCCTCCAGTAGATGGCAGTAGAGATCATCAAAGCTTGCCTCTCTTCTCCCTCTTAGGAAAAACAATTCTAGATTATCATACTAAGTGAAGCAAGCCAGACAAAGACAAATATCATAAGACATTGCTTATATGTGGAATCTAAAAAAAGTGATACAAAGAAACTTATTTATAAAACAAATAGACCCACAGACATAGAAAACAAACCAAAGGGGAAAGGGGGGGGGGAAACATTAGGAATTTAGGATTAACAGACAGACACTACCATATATAAAATAAACAACAAGGGCATACTGTATAGCACAGAGAACTATACTCAATATTTTGTAATAACCTATAAGGGAAAAGAATCTGACAAAATATATATGTATGTGTATAACATTCACTTTTCTGTGCCTCTGAAACAAACACATTTTAAATCAACTATACTTCAATTTGAAAATGTTACATTTTCAAAAGAAAATTTTAGCTGTTTAAAAAAAAGATTTCAAAGGATTGCTACATTGATACCACTCAGGTATTGAGAAAGTTGCTTTAATAGTAATAATAATATTATTAATATGGCTGTGGTGTTGGAGAAGAGTCTTGAGAGTCCCTTGGACTGCAAGGAGATCCAACCAGTCCATCCTAAAGGAAATCAGTCCTGAATATTCATT